ATATCAAAGAGCAACTTTAATATATCAAGTATATAAAGAATTTGGATATTTTAAAATGTGCACAATACATTTTATATTGCATAATCAATATTGGTGGAGTAGTATGTATCAATAAGTAGCTACATATGTTTCTTAATGAGAAGTACATAATGGAGTTAAATTAAGCTTTAATACCTTATCACCTCAATTGAAGCCATTACCTATCATAGGTTTGTATTATCATTGGCCTTTAGACTTTATTGAATCACTTAATATTACCTCACATCTACATGAATACGTGTTGATGATGGTAAAGTATTTTAGAAAATAAATTGAATTTGTGGCTTTATCACAAAACTCTTCAAAATTGGCAATTGTGGCTTTTTTTGATTGAATATTGGCACGTTTTGGAACACCTATTAAAATCTTAATAAATCAAGGAAGAGAGTTTTTTGGAATGTTTGAAGCTTTATATACTAAAGGTTTAATAGATTATTGTACCATGTCTAGAAATCATCTTGAAGCAGATGGCCTAGTTGAGCAAGTTATTCATATTATCAAACATGATTTATGGAAGTATGGATTACTTTATGGCAAGCATTGTGATTAAAACTTAATGTTGATGTAAATTGTGATAGATTATTACTTCAATAGACAAGAAATTTTGGCATCTTATAGTCCTTATTAGTTGTTGTATAGATGAAAGTCAATTCTATCCAACTCAATACATGAGAAGCTAACTTCAATTATAGAGTTAAATGATCTTAATGTTTGAACCCAATGTCTACATAAATGAGCAGCGTTCTTTAAATAAGCTATGTCAATGGCTATAGAGAACTTATCTATTGCTCAACATTGCAATACTTTATGATATTCTTGTATTTGTAGTAGAGCTTATTAACCTTAATTACAAAGATTTTTCAAAAAAGATCATATATATTTATAATATGAAGTGCCTATAATAATTCATATTAAGGCAAGGTATATAATTCTATATGTAAATAATATATTTCCTAGTGGTATTTTGTTATTAGAAGGCAAGGATAGATAAGAGTATGAAGAGCATTTAAAGAATTGTGTTCTTTGTCATATTCCTATTGATAACTCTATATATCCTAAATTGGTAGTTGTGCCAATTGACCTCTCTTGTTTTGTATGTGGTAAAAAGAAAGAGACTCTCATTATGCTTTTGTATGATCAATGTCAATGTAGGTGGCATATAGCATGTTTGACACAACCTCTTTTGACTCTTTGTATTAGAGATTGGATTTGTCTTCATTGTAAGAAATCTTCTAGCTATGCCTTATCTCTTCATAAGGATTGAAGATTTATTCTATTTTTTTTATCACACACTTTAGTGGTCTAATTGCTACAATATTAATTTGAAGGAGTACAATTTGGCAATAACATTATTGTAGTATTTATCTTCAATGATGTGTATTTTGTGATTATAGTTGCTTGAAGGGACTTTCAATCAACTAGAGAGGGCACTTGAGAGTGTCTTGGATGTACATTTGTATTTGATTTAAATCACACACTTTGTGATTATTTTATAGCAATCAATGTATTATATGTAATAATCTTTGTTTAAACCACAAATATCACATGATATAACATTGGGTGCCAAATCTTATCAAATGTATGTAGTTTAGTTTTATTAGTGTTTTTTCATCCATTGATAGTTTTTTGTTAATTGACTTTATTCATATCAACTATGACTTGAATATTTAAGTAGAAGAAAAAGAAAAAAAAAAAAAAAAAAAAAAAAAAAAAAATCCTTGGCTTAATATTCTTGTCAAGTCAAGACTTGTGAGTAATTTTGAAAATGATGGAACTTGTTGTAAGGGTTTCTTTGGCTCTGGTCATTTAGCCATTTTACTAAAGCTTTAGGATTTTTCTTATTTTTGCACTTGCATTCTTAGATTCTTCTTTTGTGATGTGAAAGATAACTTGACTTAGTTTGATATAGATAACTAATCTTTTCTTGAGAGTGTGTTGAGTGTGCATTTGTATTTGGTTTAAATACATGCTTTGTGATTGGTTTGTAGTACTTGATATGTTGTGTATAATAATCTTTGTTTATATGACAATGCTAAATCTATTTTAATGAATTAATTTGTAATAAAAAAACATTAAAAATTATAATTTAAGAATTATACTTACAAGAATATTTGTATTAAATATCAATAAAACTTCTTTTATTGCATTTAAGTATATTAAAGATTCACAATATATTAAGCAAGTAGATTTGTATGTTTTTTTTGTTAGGAACATAAAATCTTTGAATTTATTTTGTTAACATGTAATCATTAACATATTATTTTAATATATATATGTAAAAGTGATGCACTTTAGACTCTAAAAAAATACTATTCTTTTTAATTATTTATTTTTCATTAAACATTAACTATTTTAGATTTTCATATAAATATCAAATTTTTAAATTCTTAATTTTTAAAATTTTGGTGTTAAATATTTTACATTTGCAATTAAAACTTACCATTAAAATTGCTATATTAAAATCAAATAAATAAACCTACTCCCTTATGTACAAATAGCTTATGTAGCCATTGTAACATCTACAATATGGTTATTTTTTACCTTTTCTTGCATTCCTTCATTGTTGCAAAAAATAGTCTTTCAATTAAATTAGATAAGTATTTGTTTTATTTTAATTTTATATTTAAATATGTCTGCCAATAAACATATTTTCTTAATATCTGCTTGACATGCATCATATGACATAATGTTAAGGTTTTAATTTATTTGACAATGATTCATTTGATCATGCCAAAACCACTTTTCAATTCTTTTTTTAAAATACAAAGTCTGTGCACCTTGAAACACAAGTTATAGTTTTTTGTAGTGTATCATTTCTATTAATGTTTATTTTTAAAACAATTAATGTCACTCAAATTCATAAAAAATCAGGCGACACAATATTTTTATATAACACAAATATATATATATATATATATATATATAATCGAAGGATGTCAAAATCTCTTGATTCAAATAGATATCTTATCAAACTCATATAGCTAATGTACATTGCTTTGGCCCATTCATGACAATCCTTCATTATTTGTCATTGAGTATGAAAAAATAAAACTAAAAAAAATAAAACAAAAACAAAGAAAAATCAACAAGAGAAATCCTCTGGCAAAGCTAGACTAGAACAAAGTCGTCAAAAAAAAAAAATAATAGCAACCTGTTACGTTTTAAATGCATAGTCCGCCAGCACTGTGATGGGAAAAAAGGAGGCAGAGATTGCAATGTGCACATTTGTCTGTAATGTAAAACTCTGCCATGAATGCAGACATAGAAATAACCATGAATTGTATTTCACCATTCCACGAAGGTTCGAATTTCCGCACTGACACAGTCCGCATTCGAGATTAAGCGTCGATGAGGACTACCACATTTTTTTTAGACTAAAATCCTAAACCGCGCAATAAAATAAGCTCTCATCTTTCGTCGACGAGCGTGGGGGCACGTCTTGCAGCCATTGACTCCATCAAATGATTCGTCATGATGCTCGATGTGTTCATCTCTCATTTCGTGTTCCACAGGAGTAAATGCTGGCATTCATTGTTTAATTCATCCGATTTTCCATGTTTATCTTATTTCTCCCCTGTCTGTAATTTCCTCGCATTGAGCCTGAATGCCGCGACCACTTTCGACGTAGACACGAGGGGTGTAATCGGAGTAGTAGCACTGTCTGGCATGCAGGTTTTAGGGACGTTTTTGCGAACCATCAAAGCAAGCTGAAAATGGCCTCATGATCGGGAATCATGGGTCAAGCATGAAAGCATTCAGACACGTACTTTCGCATTCTATCCTCTTGATTAATTAGCCTTCAAGGTTGGTTGTTTCTAACCCAGCGTACTGAGATGGAGTGTACGAAACCCCTGGTCGGTTGGTTATCTCGCCTGGATTTGGAACAGCTGGTTAAAGACCACGATGCCGGGAGCGAGAACAGCTGGTAAAGTGCTTTTGGTGTTTTTACTATGAGTTTCGTAACACTTGCATCTCCTCTCCCAGTCTGCGTCGCAAAATAAACAACTGCTTTGGTGGCGCAGTCTGAGTTCAAAAGCAGGGACGGAAAGGTGAAAAAAGCACGATGAATACCTTCAACTACTCATAATGGTGATTGCTCATCGGAAACTTATTGCCACATGGCGCGTCATTTCTTGTTCCACCGATGATGTTGCTTCAGAAAGCTCTGTGGAACTAGATCCAGAAAGACAGATCCGGAGAAGAGGGCAGGGAACTTTCGAAACAACATCATTTAGAGGAGAGGCCATGACGCGAGCTGCTTCGCAAATGAAGCAATCACCACCCAAGACATTCCTAGAATATTACTTTTCTGATTTCTGCACCTGACAGCATCTGCTTTCGTCACCTCTGAACGGCGTAAATTCCGGATGTTGTGGTTGAAGGTTAGTGACACACTGCTGCAGGGATTTCACGCTCAAGCTTGATGACATGGTTGCTTTATCCTCGGTGGCATGTGGAGCTCCCATCCTGGCCTGGACTCACTTCAGCGTTTTCAGCATGCATCAAACTTCAAACCAGCGATGCGCGTCTGCCGACTTTGGGCGTTGAATTTCGACCTACATCAGTGCTCGTTTTTGAGGTCCTGCATTTGCGCAACATTATTATTGCAAATTTCCAACTGAAGTTTAGATCGTGAGGAAAAGTTAACTCAAGGTGACGCCATGAGCTCTTTCTTTCGTGACTTTGGACTTTCATATCCCCTACCATTCGACGTTAGGAAGTTATTCACATTCCAAAAGAATTTGCAATCCATCATATTCATGTGATGTGCGAGGCGCATGTACTAGGTCAACGAAATGGTTCAAAAAGTACAGAAACTTGTCATAACTCGGAATTCATCTGAGCAACCTATGCCGTCTTTTCAACTCAAAAACATTAAGCAAACTATCAAGAATTATGCTAAGGTGACCAAGGCAATAGAACTTAAAACATCCCATAAAAATTGCAATGAGAGGAAAGTATTTGATGCAGAATAGACAACGAAACTTGTCTTTCATTATACAAAATAAATGAAACTTCCACATATATTTGGCAATGGAAGGCCAGAACTCAGAACCTCAACTTCAGTGGCTCATGGAAAAAATCAAATATCGTGAGTGACAGAAGCCGCTCCTACAGATATATACAGCAATCACACTAATTTTCTGCGCTACCTATTGCAGTCAAAATTTGCAGCACAGAAATTACGATCTGTAAAGTCAACCGCAGAAGCCACCCTCTGCGGTGCCGTGAATGCTCCTGAACCCCTCCGCATGCAAGATACACCTTTGAGGAAGCAAAGGCCATCATCGCGGCAAGGTCCAGCCCAAAACTTCGTAACTTCTAACCTAAAATCATTCGCACAAGCTATTTTCTCAGCAATGCCATCCTCCTGAGGATTGAGGACATTGCATTCGCGGCAGAGATATGTGACAAAATATGCACATCAGCTACAGCCATTACACCATGTATATATTACAGTGGAGCGATGTCAAAATATTGTGATAGGAGCCCCTCAAACTGCGATTGGCAAACTCTTCCCAACTGCCCGTTGCTCTTCGATCAAGGTCCTAATTGAGGAGGTCAAACCTGCTTCTCTCAAAATTGATGCAAGTCCAGCCTGGCCAGGTCGCTGAAACACTCTTGGCTTCAAGGCGGGAGGCGTCCACACGGTGTTGTCGACAGCACTCTTCGTGGCGACAGTTGATGAGGCCTTGCTGCTAACATCCGCAGGCTTCTTTGGAGCAAAATTCTTCAAGTCTCTCATTACTCGTCTCTCTCCTCCCCGCAGGTAATCCACCTCCATCTCCTCGATGTGCGTCGCGCTCCAGCCACTGTCCCTCACTGCGATGAAAGAGATGTTCGATATGTCCTCGTCGTGGACCTTGTGGACAGAGTCGTTCGTAGTGCGCCTGTAGGATGAGAACCACTTAGCCCGCATGTATTCGGGCTTCCTCCAGGGAGGCAAGTGCATACCACGGTTCTTGATTGACTGCTTTACGGCATCAGACAGAATGTTGACAATCTGAAGGAGTCGTTCCGCCTTGCCAATGAATACAGTCGGTAACACTTGCACCACAGCTTTATAGCTTGAAGAAGGTCGGGCAATCTCAAATTGAGTCCTGAAGTCAATGTCGATGATGATTCTCTCGCTTTTGCCAGTTGCTCCTTCAAAAATCACGTCAATGTACTCGTAGACGCCACCGGGAAATGTACCGGCGTTGTCCCATCGCGACTTGCAAATAGCAGCAGAGTAGCCTCCGTTTCTAAGATACTTCATTACTCGACGCCTGAGGCAGACGGTAGCATCGTCCTCGACCGAAACATCTTTGGCCATAGAAATGGCCTTGTTGACTTCAGCCAACAATGTTCTCTCGGTGGCGTTTGCACTACATACCATATTTTGTAAGATCTCAGAGAGTTCCCCTCCAAGTGAAGACCTGGCTTCCTCGAAATCGTTGCAGTCGCACATTGAGCCGCTTAGCTCGCAATTGCACCGCGACCGGCCACATCGGCCACCGTCGGTGTCGTTTTCAATGAACCCGTTAACCATGGCGCCCAAGCAGACAGATGCGGCCTCGTGCTCGCTTCCACTGCTGACATAACGATTCCCGAACACGTTTTCCGAATCGACTCCATTACCAAAGAACTTAGTCATTTTCTCAGCACCTGATTGCGCAGTCTTAGACCTATTGGCGTTCGCTCCACAAGCTTGAAACTGCGCTGATAATAATCCCATGGTGTTCACATTCACGTTCTGAGCCGGCACGCGCACAAGACCTGTGGCAGGCGCTCTTTCCTCACGAACCTTTTCTGCCTTAGACCGTGCTAAATTTCTTGCACTGCTGCTCCTCGCCTTCGAAGCAGACCCGATCGGTCTCGTGGGCAACAACCCAGGCATCGTCACTCGCCTTCTCCCCTAACCACTCCTCTCCACTTCACCAATCTTTCAAACAACTAATCCACTAAACCACATACACGCTAGAGAACTTTCCCTGTCAGCTTGACGCCCATGGACATTCTAAAACCAAAACCTCGCACTCCCACTGTTGAATCGTCCTCTCCTTCACCTGCTGCTCTCACAAATACCCTCAACACACTCTCACAAATTCCACGCTATTGTGTACTATAAGATGCTTATCCTTTTTTTCAGATTCAACGTTCCTGAAAGAACTTCTCACAAGTATGACATCAAGCACCGCGCTCAACTACTTTTGGGCCTACTCGTGCACTCAAGGAGAAGGCACAGGGAGGAAGCAGTAGCTTCGAGGAGGCTTTGGAATAACCACTGAAGCTGAGTTGGTATTCGTCTTATAGCCTGCTTGGGCCAGCACAGTTCAGGGATGAACGAAAGGATCATTTCGTTTGCGAAGATGGCGTGCAATCAGTGGAGTGAAGTGGACGATTCAGCATGCGATTCCTCGTTGGGTCAAACTTGGTCACTGCGCTTCTTGAAAGAACTCTGGAATGGTGATCTGGAATGAGGATGAAAAAACCGGGTGGGACCCTTCCGAGACTTGGGGCCCACGAGGCACCCGCCCGAGGAGCTCAAGAATCAGAGGTCCAAAATTAGAAAATTGCTCCATTTCCTGATGAGCAGCATTCGGGTAGAGATAAGGAAGCGCCTTCGCCACCTCGATCAGCTGGGTTTTGGTGTTCCCATCCCCCCCAACCCACCCACCCCTATTCCTCTAAGCTCCAAACTTTGGATCAGTAACCTCATTTTACTTACTATTAATGAAGGGGACAACGTGCATTAACTAAAATCCTCCTCACACGGATGCATTGGGTGGGTGTTCGCTAGCATTCTGTGCCTCCAACATCACTCGCTCCAGTCTCCAAAGCAGCAGATATTTAACATAATGTGGTCATCTAGATGAACGAGTCTGTCTGCACACTAACGAACGGAAGACGAAGTCCTCCTCCACCAAGCTTTGCCCAAAATGACCACATTGTTACATCACTGAAAGAATGGGCTGTAACAGAATTCCCCAGTTTCTTCTTCTGCTGTCGACATTGTTTCGTGTAGTATGCCCAGCTGGGTGGTTGAAAACGAGATCGTTCCCTGAACGCTTCCAACATGACACCGTTCAATTTCCATGCAACTCAAAAGGAAAATGCAACTTACCTACCCATTTTTTCACCAAAAAGCATCGGTCGAAAGAGCACCAATTGGAGTGTGGCAGTGGTACACATATGCCCCCAACGACGGCAGTAATTTGTGTGATGCTTTGCATATGAACAGGGGGAGTGAGTAGCTGTGATGGAGCTTATGCCCGTGATGGATGACAAGGTTGTGGTGTGCCTCTCAAGACAACGATACACTGTTCCCGTCAGGACCTCACCTCTCCACGCCATTCTATGATGACCCTCCTTGTGATCTGAGCCCGATTCATTCGCTAGGTACCAAAAAAACAACGAAGGGGATGAGGGGGGGGTCCAGACCCAGCCGTTGAAGGCCCCACACAAATCACGGGCGTCCTGCCCGCGGCTATCCGTTCCCCTGATTGAGACCACAAGCTCTTCTCTCACACCCGATTCACCCGGCCTGGCCACAGGCCTGGTCTAACCCTGACCAGGTTTGGCCCTCTCTTTGATTCCAGAAATGATTTATTTATAGCCCAGTGTACCTTATGATCTCAATCAGTGATGCCAATCTTCTTATTTCATATACAAGTTAAATATAAAATATAAAATAAAACGAATGGTTGAATATTCCCAAGCCCTGACGAATGGAGCGAAACTGACTCCCCAATTTTGCTAACTCGGTGATGATTGAATGGAAGCCCCGTTCCATGCGGAGGGAGTGAAGAGAGAGAGTACAACAACCACGGGAACGCCTCAATGTGTTCCCGTGCGCGTTCCTGGCGTCTCGCACGCGTTCTCTTTCTGGCATTAGTCAGTGGTGAAGTGTCAGATGGAATAAGTGATAGGGGACCACGTGGACTGCTGACTCACACGGCGGCCTTGGTCTTCGGGCTCCCCCCAACCGTCCCCGTCGTAACTGCACGGTCATGCCTCGCGTTACCGAGTTCTCATCACAGGGAACGTGTTCCCAAAGCATCTTGTTGGTTCCATAACCAGCCAGGCATTTGGCACCTTGTCTCAGTTTATGGAAATTGAATTTAACGCTCTTTCTATATCTATAAATCCATCTCTGTGTGTGTATATATAGAGAGAGAACTATGTTCCGGTGTGAGCTTGTGAGTGAAAGCTTGAATTGTGAATCTTCACCTTCAAGTCAGCTGGGTTATCATTAATAAAGGATAATTTGGTGCACAAGTAGTTTAAAGGAAACAAGTAAACAGAAAAAATATAGTAGAAATGATCCTAAAGTTTTCTTATTTCTATGTATCCCTTTGGGCTCTTATTAATTTTTCCTTTTTTCTGTTTCCCTTTTCCTTTCTTTTTTAATCCCTCTTTAAACTAAATTGATCTAAAATTCTCCCAAAAAAATTCTGCTTTGATTTTGTCTTAAATGTGGTGATTGGGCGTGACTAGGTTCAGTGTACCAAAGCACGAGATGGTGAATGTAAATGGATTGCTACTAGATTCCATGCACCTGGTCCAAATGTTGGTTTGATTACATTGATTACATTGATTACATTGAACTTGGCAAGTAGGATGGTTCCAGGTTCAATGAATCTATGAAAACGGGAAAAAAAAAATGAAAATGAAAAAATGAGAGCGTTCAGACTTCTGTGTACACTCACACTGACAACACATTCACTTTGGTCCATGTACAATTGGAAGGAGCTAGAAATTTAGGGTTTCTCTTGTGTAAGTAAGACATTGTTGCCTGGAGCTAGACTGGGGCAGGTTCAAACTCCCCACTCAGAAACATCTTTGGGGAATGTAAACATCTACAGCAGGGGTGTGAAGATCGGCTGACCATGCCCAATGGATAAATTTTAAATTAATAACTAATAACCTGGATTCATTTCTTGCAAATTGGATAATGCTGTGGGGCCACAATTGTGTTAGGTTTGAGGACTTGGAAAAATTGCAAAATCTGGGGTTACCCTTGAGCTTTGAGCCCTCCACTTGGGATTTGCCCTGCTGGCATCTTGCAATTTGGGTGTTGAAGAATCAGCCCACATGTTACCTTGTTGTTTTCCCAGAAATATTGGAGGTTATTAATAACAATGAACACTATTTTGTCAACAAATGGGGGAAGTGGACTTCTGGATTCTATGACTTTGTTATGCCCTTTCCTCTCTGTACACAAAGACCTGTGCAGAAAACATTTGCTTTGATACTTAGTTGTAAGATCACATCAGTAGTTATCCTGAAGTGAATTTCAGACAATGAACAACATAATCTTTTTAACTTGTTTAATAAATTTTATGGTTTTCTGCATGAAAGGTTCAAAGTAGAAAGAGCTACATGAAAGATATCCATGTTTGAAATATGATTTACCATACATCAAGAGTGTACATCACAACAAGTTACAAATAATTGTTTATTGATACTTTATATTTTATAAATAATTAATAAATAAAAATAACAGAAATTTCTTGGTACTTGAGCATTCTTAACAGAATAATACATTGCATAAAATCTTGGCACCAATTTATTTTATTGGTCTTTTCATGAAATGGGATTGAAAAACATAATGTTTTAACAATTCAATCATTTTAGTATCAAACAACAGTAGCTGTAAATATAAAACTATATATCATGTATCACTAAACATGCAATATACATGTATATATAATAGTATAGGAATAAGCAGAAAAATAGACAGCTGATATTTGATGGAACATGAATAAAATAAACAGTTACTACTTTCCTTTGCATGGAAAGTGAAGACTAGGGTCAAGACTTTATACCAGGGATTAAGTGCAACCCTTTGAAATATGTCTCAGTTCATCACTCAAAAAAATTATTTCATTGATAACTATGTTTTCTGTGACTCCAATTCTTTTCAAACCTATCAATGGTTTTTTTTCAAACCACTCATTTTATTATTATTATTTTAATCCGTTCACTAAATTATTTTTATTAAAATAATAATAATAATAATAAATAATAAATCTGGTTTGTCAGCTTAAGAATTAAACTTGTCAATGTTTTACCAAACCTAATGGGTTAGATTTATTTTAGGGACTTGATTGTAAACATTGCTGCACCAAGGTTTCTCATTAGAATTGTGCATGGCCTTTGGACAACAGATGGGGTGGATACATTTTTATTTATTTGTTTGCATATATATACATATTCTCAAGCTTCATTGAAAATTGGCACAATAGCATGAAGATGATAGGACCAATTTCATATAGTCTATTTTGTCCATTGTTGCCAGGCCCTATATGATCTGACCACCACCTAGTGCTATAGGACATAAGCCAGTAGTGGGAAGGCACTCATTACTATGATACAACTCCATCCTTCTAGACCCAATAAGAAGGAATAACTTGGGGAGGCCTCAGCCTTGCCCTGCTGAAGAAGCATGCAATGCTATGCTATATGCTATCCATGAGCATATTGGAGCCTTTGTCTTGGCTTCAAATTAAGTCATTCATGGCCCAGCCTAGCCAACATGGCTGGGCCTAATCTATAAAACTACCCCTCACCACTATTTCATTGCCCCATTCATCCAAATGGGATGCTGTCCCCAGGAATCTGGACACTCAACTACTGCCGAGAGTTTGTGCTGCAGGGAGGTTTGGGCTCCTGGGAGACACCACCCACAAAGCTTTATTATGTTGGACCCAGTAAGAGTCCCTGGAGCCAAAACGAGACAAATCCTGGGCCATGTGAGGTTGTGTCCAAAGAAAGGAAGCCAAGTAGAGAGGGACCCTGAATTGTCCAAAGCCCAACAGTGACCAATGCCACAGATAGACGAACGCAAATATTCATCCATCATCCAACACACTCCCATGGAACACTGCAAGTTGGTTAATGGCTGTTGGACAAAGGACCTGAGCAATTCGGGGGTTGTAGGGGTTTTAGGGTTTGTGTGTGCAGATGAACAACCTTGAACAGGATGAGGTTGTCGTAACAGTGCAGTTCACTACAAGAACCCTAGAGGAAGTTAGTACGTTAGGCCCCAATCATGGAGTAATAACAAGAGCCAATCCACAGAACAAATTAAAACGGTACACGAACGTTTCTCATACAGAAACGAGTTTGGATGAACCCTAAGATACCGCCCCCCCCCCAAAAAAAAATTACTACTCATTCTAATGTTAAGCTTTGATGGATGAAGTGGTATTTGGGTACAGACTGAGGAGTGGTGGCAAGATTGTGCCTAATAAAAGGAAACCCATATGATTGACTTCCTTGCTGGTGAC